ACCTCTTTCAGATTTGTTCCTTTTTTAGGTTTGTCTTTTTTCTCCCCAAGAAAATATGGTCACCATATATTAATGAATGTTGAAAAATTAAAAGGTTAGAAACCAGGAGATTGTGAGTTCTAGTTCTAGTCCCACTTACGCATGAAAGCCAGCTGGGTGACTTTGGGCCAGTCACTCTCTCTGAAGCCAATCCACCTCACACAGTTGTTGTTGTGGGGAAAACAGGAGGCGGAAGGAGTATTGGGTATGTTTGCTGCCTTGAGTTTTTCATTTATAAAAATAATAAAGCTGGGATAAAACAATCTGAAACAAAAGCTTTTTACTAATTAATAGATAGTGTTCCTCTTTGGAACTTTAATTTCTTTACTCTGTATTTAACTGCAGTAAAACATTGGTATTAAAACTAACGCTGGGTTAGAATCTTTTTTAAAACCTAAAAACATTACAGAATGTTGCAACATCTTCCGATTCATCGGTTTTGTGCCATTATTCACCACGGAGAGGGACAAGAGGCAACTTCTCTTCTGCCACAATTTTTATTGGTTTAGTATGAGTTCATCACACTATAGAAAGCCAGTCTCGGGGCCTGTAATACATGAATACATAATCTGTAGAAGTAGTTACACTTTGACTCCCATCTGTAAAGCTTTTTGTACAGAGGAAACAAACAGAAAAAAGGGTGATAATAAAATAGACATTCGCTGTCAAATCAATTTTCTTCTTCTAACAAAATTTGATAGCCAAAAAAGTGTCTAAAACTACAAAATTAGGATACGTACCACATGGGTTAAAAAGTTATCCGTTTTTTTAAATTATTATACTTAGTTTTGACTGGATTCTCTTCCTGTTCAGGAGCCTGATAAACTGGACTGGCAGGATTAGTGGATTAATATATCTCTTCAAGAATAAATGCTGAATGCTCTCCATTGAGAGATGCACTGGAGTTGGATTTTGACTTCCTGTGAAATGGCTATGCGTACATTTATTTGAACCACAAAGAAGAATAACAGAATAACAGAGTTGGAAGGGACCTTGGAGGTCTTCTAGTCCAACCCCCTGCTCAGGCAGAAAACCCTATACCAGGGGTGTCAAACTGGCGGCCCATGGGCTGGATGCGTCTTGCGTAGGCCATGCCCATCGTGGCTCCACAAAGGCAAAAAAGTTTACCACACGTCACGATACATCACGTGATGCGGTCGAGCTTGACACCCGTGCCCTATGCCATTTCAGACAAATGGTTGTCCAATCTCTTCTTTAAAACTTCCAGTGTTGGAGCACCCACGATTTCTGGAGACGAGTCGCTCCACTGATTAATTGTTTCTCCTTAGTTCTAGGTTGCTTCTCTCCTTGATTAGTTTCCATCCATTGCTTCTTGTCCTGCCTTCAGGTGGTTTGGAGAATAGCTTGACTAGGAGTCAGGCAACACCACAGCATTGCCCATAGAATTGTCAACCATAGCAAAATGCAGTATCCCCAAATCTGGTCCCCTCCAGATGTATTGGACTATAGCAAAATTCTCAGCATGTTAAATTGAGAATTACAGTCTAGTAAGTCTGGAAGACATCAAGTTTGAGAACCTAATGTGCACAGGATATAGAATACATCTGCACTTCTGTTTCAAAAGGAGACACAAGATTTTCAACAATGCTGCCAAAATTTTACAAAGTTGCTGTTTCCTACAGGGGAAAAAAAAACCAATCTTCTGGATTTTTGGCAGTCCCACTCAGCTATCACACAGCAATGCTACAAGTTCAGACTTTCATTAAATGTCCCTCTAACCCAGGGGTCTTCAAACGTGGCCCTTTTATGACTTGTGGACTTCAACTTCCAGAATTCCTCAGCCAGGCACGCTGGCTGAGGAATTCTGGGAGTTGAAGTCCACAAGTCATAAAAGGGCCACGTTTGAAGACCCTTGCTCTAACCCTTCCATTGCTTAAAGTCAGAAGAGCTAGAAAATAAACCAGGAATGTTAGCATTTTTATAACATTTTTTTGTTGTTGAATTTTGCTTTTCTTCTCTCATTTTCCTCCTGATGAAAAGGGTAGGATGGACTGGCCTCTTGCTTGTAATATAGCACGATTACTTTGGCTTGCAATCCTGTGCAGTACAGGGGCAGATAAACTACTATCAGTTTTTAAGGGTCATAAGGGACAATTTTTGCCATTATGTGAATAAATATAGTGAATAAGCAGCTGGAAAGGACTCAAATAATCCCAGCAATCTATCAGAAGATGGAAAATAAAGAAGTTCATTGAGCCTCTTCTTTCAATGTTTACATATAAAAGTAAACTGGAATTCTGATTAATCCTGGCCAATAGTGAATGAATAGTATGCTAAGTAAAAATTCTCATTTCTTTTTGCCTGTTAGCCCAAGAAAACACATTGTCATTGGAATCTGGATTCTTGGTTAACTCCTCCTCATACAGCCAGTGCTCATAAACCAACACCAATCTCTTGTTTAGCTGTAGAATAAACCAGGGTTCCATAGACATTAAAGTATGGTTTTTATTTCTAGTTAGTTAATCTGTTCCCATGTATAGAATTAGCCAAGCAGCAACAAACTTTGCATTAATAGGCAGCTCATTTATATTTCCAGGATCCTGGCTATTTACTGGCCATCACTGCAATTCACTTCCCAAAAGGTAAGTTTGCTTAAAAGCATGATATCAGTGAAAAGAAAGAGATGGTAAAGATTTGTAGAAGTGCTAATTTTTTTTGGGTTCATCCACAAATAGACATAATTTATCAAAGCAAAAAAAAAAACTGTGTTGAGAATTATCACACTAATAATATCTCATTAGAGATCTTCCAAAATATTATTTTTTCTGTGGTCTTACTTGTCAGTTTGCTCCAATTCCTGTCCATCAAAAGAGAATGCAGAAGGAAGATAACTAAATTAGAAAACATCATCATGATTATTTGTACTGCTCATTTTTGCAGGGGGGGGGAGATGAAGCAGCAACATTTCAGGTGATCCAAATCAATCAAGGAATATAGAAAAAATGGCAAAGAGCTGAAGAAAAATAGAAGTATATGAAGACAAATGGGTAGCTTATTCTCCCTAATACTGTAAATCAACTTTCCCCATTGTAATGACTCCCCATACAGGTTGGAATTCCAATATCCGGACTAAGCTAGCATAGTCAAAAGCTAGTCACCTTTATGTGGGCTAAAAATTCTTGGAGGTCCCAATAAAACCAGAGGACGTCAATGTGTGAAAGTTTACTGTATATACTGGCAAATCCCTCGCTATGAAAGTAAGAGTCCAAGGCCTTTTGAAGAATCATCAAATACATGAAGCTGACAGGGCACTTCCTCCTAAGTAGCAATTTTCATGAACCCAGATGAGAGTCAGTTGGCCACCTTAAAAGAAAAAGCAGCAAAAACCACATTCGCGATCTTAAAATGCCTGATCAAAGCGCACAGAGATAGCTTCTCAATTGGAACCCTACATTCTCCATCACCAGATCTCTACAACAGATAATCTCATGGAGAGGACACCAAATGTGAAGCTCCAAGATAGGATCCTGGTTCTAAGTTCAACCCTCTCAATGAAAGAAGCAGAGCCTAAGAGGCATAAAGAAGTAGTAGTCTAGTCTGATCTAAGTAGCAAAGAAAGGTCCAATTGGATTCTATATCTCATTGGAGCAGGCAGCTCACTTGTTCCAAGGTTCAGCTCACTTGTTCCTTTGGTGTCCTGGGATTTTATACTTCAGAGCGCAGAACTGGCATCAATTCAACCTGTAGGATACATCTTTCTTTACTCCAGACAGCCGTCCGGACAATTATTCACTTTGCTCTTTTCAGCTGGCATCTCCGAGTTTGATGAGAATAGCAGTGATGGGATCTTGCTTTGGATGGTTACTAGAACTGACAACAATGTGGACTTTCGTTCCTCTGAAATCCTCTGATCTCACAGTAGTGGTCGGATTGAGAAAATCACAATGTAATATTGAGAGAACGAAGGAAAAGAATGTTCTCACCCTGGAGGGGGGAGGGAAAGTAGATCTTTTTGGAGCCCTCTTCTTCTGGACCGCTTCTTAGGTTCTCTTCACTTAGCACCAATTTCTAGACAGCTTCTTTTAACAAATCGTGTTTACAAAAGAAGGCATTTTGTAAGACAATACTCACAGACACTCATTCTCTCTCAAATCTGCGTACCACTAGCAGAAAAAAAGGGAGAAAAACCATACAAACACACAAGCAGACATTCTTGCTCCAATCATTCATATATTTGAACACTAAGACATCTTCTCATCTGGAGATTCTTCTGTGTCTCAAATTTATACATGCAAGAAGACCAAGGGAGAACATACTGTCTGAAGATTACTGCCACAGGCTGCAAAACATTTGTGCTCCAACGGTTAGGTTGAACTCTTCTCACCTTCACCCCAAACAAGCTACTTTCCTTGTCACAAAAAGATAGTTATTTGCAGTGGTAGAACACACAAATAGACCAACCTGTGCAAAACAGAGGCACAGATGCAGGCAACCTGTTCTCCACATATTTTGGATTTCCCCTTATCAATTTTTTTTGCAGTTCTGTCTTATTGATTGGAAGCTGAAATCTGAAACACTTGAAAGGGTGAGGGTTGCCTAATTTGCATTTTATCTGGGTGAAAAAGGTTCACCTGGCAATTCTGCTGCATGTATAAATGGGGCCTAAGTTGTTTAAACAACGAAATAAAAGAGCCCTTAGGTAGGCTATTGGGAAAGTGTTTCAGAATTTCAGTTTCAATATTGTTAAAAGTCAAAGAGAAAGAAAGAATACCAGCCCCTCCACCCCCAAGGACAAGGACATCTCAACTGCCTCCAGAGTTGTTGATTAAATCTCTAGGTCAATCTCAACTTTAGTTTCAAGGTCTAGCCATCATTGGCTCAAAGAAGATGTATCTCTGAACAGATGAGAGATGTAACTGTACGGGCACCAGCAGAAGTCCACCATTGGCTAAAAAACTCTGAATCACCAATGACTTGATAATTACTGAAGTTAAAATAAGTTAGAGAAGGTCCACCTCAAAATGCCTATCCCATGTTATATCATTAGGTTTAATATATTTCTGACCTCAAAAGAGTTTTTTTTTTAATGTAGAGGACAGAGATCCTTTTCAAACAGACACTGGGTTGTTCCCTATGGTCAATGGCGCTTGATCTTAGCTCTTTTGCAGACCTGTAAAATGGGTCCATCCAGCGGATCTGGAGGGGAAATCTGAATGCTATGTGCAAATTATTAGCTGCTTTAAGCAAGTATTCAGGGGGGGCGTCACTTAGAAAAATCTCCAACGTCTTTCAAAAGCCACTGAAATGAGGTATCTTGCCGGCGCAGCAGAAAGTACCTCCCAAAAAACCTGACATGATACACCATGCCAATAAAAATGACCGCCAAAGGCTGCAGGTAGCAAAGGAGAAATTCAGCCACAGGCACAACCGCTGTACCGCATCTTTGGAGGAACTGGACCCAACTTAGAACTAAACAAATCACCGGGGAGGAACCCTCCTTCTTGACATCCACTTTGTTCATAGAGTGGAAATACTTTTGGTGGTGCTTGGGGGAGGCGTCTCCAAGTTTCCCTCTTCTCAACTACAGATCCAATGATTTCAATATTCCTTTCCTCTCTTCCTTCCTTCTTTTCCATCAGTGTTTCTCCTGTAACACAAGAGACCAGATTAGGAATCTGAAAACTGCTCTCATGATTAAATACCAGTAGTCTTTGACTTATGACAGTAGAAGCCTGGCCATTATGGTCATAAACGTGATGGCCATAAAGAGGGTCATCACACAATGGACCCAATTTTAAGATTTATTTTTGTGACAGTTGTTAAACGAACTACGATGGTAAGTAAGTGAATCCACAGTTGCTAAGTGAACAATGTGGGGGTCCTCCATCAATGTTAGCACTGATGATGTTATCTAGTTTGGTAATGAAACATCTGCAAGAAAACCACCAAGCTCAGAGACCCCACAGTTCAATCCTGAGCTACAAATGTTCTCTTCTAAAGCTTGTGATGGCTAGTTCTTTGTCCTCTTTCCAAGTAACATTGGGGAGGGGGGGAGTCAGTCCAAAATTATAACATCTTGATTGTCTTGAAAGGCCAAGGTCAAAGGTCTTGTTCCCACACCACAATCAACAAGCCCTCTTCCTGGTTCAACCTTTGAATGGTTTAGACCAGGGGTAGGCAACCTTGGCTCTTTTATGACTCGTGGACTTCAACTCCCAGAATTCCTGAGCCAGCCATGCTGAGGGAGAGGTTTCCATGCTTAGCCATGCTGGCTCAGGAATTCTGGGAGTTGAAGTCCACGAGTCATAAAAGAGCCAAGGTTGCCTACCCCTGGTTTAGACCAACGTATCTGTGAGATCAGCTGGAGTTTTCAGAAAGGAAAGAGTTAAAATGAACTCCCCCCCCACCCCCCAAAAAAAGATAATGAGTTGCTAGCAGCAACCAATTTCAGTTTGGGGAATTAATATTAAAAATAATTAAAACTATAACATCTAATTGTACCCTACTTTACACAATAAGCCAATAAGACATCTATCTCAAAAGTCAGAAGAGGGATTGGAGAAATTCTTACATGAAAGATATTTAGAATCACCAACCTCCTGCTTGTGAGATTTTTCTTGCTGATGGACCCCGTTAGCAGATCCAGAGTTTCCAATAGTCTAAAAATTTTAAAAAGAGGTTGGTAATAGATGATTTATGGATTCACACAATTGGATGATACATTAAAAAGAGACAGAATTCCATTAAAATGAGCAGTTTTATGTGATATAGAGAAAAAAATATGAGACATTAGAGAAAAGAAAATCAATAAAAAGTGAAAAAAAATTTAAAGCATAAACTGAAATATATTGATCTCCTCTTTGCATAACAAGAGGCTCAGCTAAAATAATAATAATACTTCCAATAACAATACTTCCAATCATTTGCACGTCAAATTATACCCATGTTTAGTAGTACACTGACTGCAGGAAAATAGGTGGTTTTTCAACTTACAACCACAACTGAGTCCAAAGTTTCCACTGCTAAGCAAGGCCATTGTTAAGTGAGTTGTGCTCCATTTTACGATCACAGGAGGCTATGAATTCTAATCCCGCCTTGGATATGAAAGCCAGCGGGGAGCTTTGGGCCAGTCTCTCCAGCCTAACCCACCTAACAGGATTGTTGTTGTGGGGAAACAGGAGACCAATGTCAGGCACAAACAGCCAGACACACATCAAACTAGCTACTTTATTATTCTATGCCTATTTCACAGGAATTTCCTGTTCTTTGCCTGGGAAAAACTAGATAAGGCTCAAAGCATCGACGAAGGTCAGATCTTACCCTCTTGTGTTCACTTAATGAATCCAGACTAATTCCCTGCTTGACGCTTCCTCCTGACTGGGATGATCTTGGGCTCAACTGTGGTCATAAGTCAAGGACTATCTGTACTTAATTCTCCTTCCTTATTGAAAAGCAATAAGGAAGGAAAATTAAGTACAGGTCATGCCCGACTTATGACCAACAGGGAGCCCAAAATATCTGATGCTAAACAAGACAGTTGTTAAGTGAGTTTTGCCCCATTTTATGACCTTCGTTGACATAGTTGTTAAGTGAATCACTGCAGTTGTTAAGTTAGTAACACGGTTGTTAAGTGAATCTGGCTTCCCCATTGATTTTCCTGGCCAGGAGGAGAAGGAGATCACATGACCCTGGGACACTGCAACTGTCAAAAATACATGCCAGTTGCTAAGTGTCCAGATTTTGATCTCATGACTATGGAGGAGATGCAATGGTCCTAAGTGTAAAAAACACTTACTTTTTTCAATGCCGTTGTAACTTCAAACAGACACTAAACAAATGGTTGTTAACTTGGGGACTATCTGTATGTTCCCTGCTTTGAATTGCTTATAAAAATAATAAAAGGTGGGATGTGGTGGTGCAGTGGTTAGAATGCAGTACTGCAGGCTACTTCTGCTGACTGCTTCAAAGTTGACTTAGCCTTCCACCCTTATGAGGTTGGTACAATGAAGTCCCAGATTGTTGGGGGGGGGGGCAGGATGCTGACTCTCTAAGTCTAAACCACTTAGGGAGAGCTGTAAAGCACTGTGAAGCGGTATATATGTCTAAGTCTAATGTAAATTAACATTAAAATTTAGAAATAGAATTGCACATCCTATTAGCCCAAAGCCACAGATTAGAGCAAAGGGATGGCTCCTCCATTTGTGAATTCTGTAAACAAGCCAATACTCCAGGATCTCTCATTGCAGGGGTTGAGAAACCAAGATAAAAGTGGTCAGTTCTTGGTTTTTGTTAAGAGCAAGTCACATCCAACTTCCTTAACCATCTGGTCCAGTCTAGGGGTATGGCTATGAAAGACTGACCTGTACTTTTTCAGAGCAGCTGCGCATGGCTTCCATCAGTTTTTCCATTTGTTGGCCCTGCTCCAAGGCGTTCCTCAGGACATCCTCAGTGCTGACCAACCGGTGTTGCAACCGGAGAATCTCCGTCTCCGAGGAAGGATCAATAAGGGAATACCGCCGCTGATCCGTGACCGCTTTTTCTTTGTCCTGGATATTTAATTTTTTAAAAAATAGGGATTTAAAGACAGGTCTGCTGTATTCATTTATAGAAAATTGGGAGAAAAGTATCAAAGAGGGGGAAGGGGGAGCAAAGGTAGGAGATCTTGTGAATAATATTAAAAGGCACAGTTTAGATGCAAAAGTGGGGAACAATGGCCTCTTTATGACTGGTGGACTTCAACTCCCAGAATTCCTGAGCCAGCCATGAATTTGTTACATGGTTTAAGGAAGCATCTCTTAGCTTTCTTATGTAGAAATGGAGAATGTTAAAGATAATAGAGACACAGGGTAGTTTACTATGTTCACACCCTTGCAAAAAGCAAGAAATAAAACATTCCTCACTTCCCCACTCCATAAACTGTTTCAAGATCAAACTGCTTTCTCAGCCCATAAAAATCTTTTAATTTCCTGCTGAAATGTATAATAGCTTAAAACTATGAGGTTTATGCATACCTTCTAAAGCAGTATAGAATAAATCTAAAGGTCCCCCAAATGCACAGAGGGGTATCACAGAGAAAAGGAATCAAATATTGCATGACGTCTCAAAATTATCATTCAAGTGAGTGACAATTCACAAAAAATGCTTTGAAATATCTAAAGCAATCTTGCCTAACTGAAGAGTGTAGGTCTTGCTGGGTTATTCAATCCATGAACAATTAAATGTGAGAAGCAACTTCAAGCAAGTTTCTGAAGATGGCTTGCAAATGAACCGGAGTTATGAATCCATGATTTTTAATGCGATGAACTGAGTTTAATGAGAAATCTGTTGAAGACTTCGCCTACCTATGTGGAAAGAGAACTTAGGGGGGGAAAAAACCTATGGATTCAAGGCTCAGTGGAACTCCTTTGTAGGGATAAGCAAACTTTTCATTCTATTCTTCCTCCAAATTGTGCTAATCTCTTTTCAATTTTCTAGAATCTTCTGAAATAGGAAGTGATTCCCAATATCCTGGATATGGTCTAACACATGTGGAGCCTCACTAGCACCACTACAATAGGATTTTTGGTTCAGACAGTAACGTAAGTCCATAAAGAGGGCACCTTATGATCTTCACTTCTCAGCTATCGATATGGACACTAAGATGAGACTTGGCAAAAAGTTACAAAAATGCTTTATTTTGAAAAGCATCATATGAACAGTCCTTCAGCAAAGCTTCCAGAAGCTTCCGGAAGCCTCCTGCTTCTGATGCTGCACAATGGCTTTACTTTCCATCACTCCTGTGACCCTCTCTGCGTAGCCAGTTGACAAAAGAGGCTTTGGATATGCACACTAAAAGTACAGAATCCCCTTCCACCTACAGGCAATTCTCAACTTATGACTACAATAGAGATCAGAATTTCTGTTGCTAAGCAAGGCAATTATTAAGCAAATGGTGGCCGATTTTATGACCTTTTTGCCATGGTTGTTAAGCAAATTCGGCTTCCCCTATTGACTTTGCCTATCAGAAGCCAATTGAGAAAGTTGCAAATGGCAACCACATGGCCCCAGAATGCTACCACTGTTGTAAATACATGCTGGTTGTCAAGCATCCGAATTCTGATCACATGACCATGGGCATGCTGTAGTGGTCATGTGAGGATTGGTTGCAAATCACATTTTTCAGGGCCATTGTAATTTTGAAAGGTCGCTAAATGAAACTGAGAAGCTGTGGTGGCACAGTGGTTAGAATGCAGTATTACAGGCAAACTCTGCCCACTGCCAGGAGTTCAATCCTGACTGGCTCAAGGTTGACTCAGCCTTCCATCTTTCCAAGGTCGGTAAAGTGAAGACTCAGATTGTTGGGGGCAGTATGCTGACTCTGTAAACCGCTTAGAGAGGGCTGTAAAGCACTGTGAAGCGGTATATAAGTCTAAGTGTTAAGTGCTATTACATGTATTGGAAAGCTTGAGGAAGGTCCAGAATTGACACCAAGGTGATTCACGCAATTCTTTTTCTATGATGAGATGAATCATATTTCCTCCCCAATGTACCTCATAGAGGCAAAATGGCCTTGCTGAAGCTTCGCATATGATGCCTATCACCTGGGCTAACCATCTCTAAATTCTCCACCCTCCCTGTCCTCACCAGGATGCTGAGTTTTTCTCGCAGTCCTTTGATGTCATCTTTGAGCTTCTGCTCCTTCAGCCTCCACTCGGCTTTGTGCACCTCACGGCTTAAGTCTCTCTCTGGGCCGGGTGAATGCCGGTTGGCTTCCATTAGCAATGCCCGCAGTTCATTCAGGCTTCTGCAGGAAGAATGGAGAGAAGATCGGAAAGAGATCTTAAGCTATCTGTGAGAGAGAATCTATCAAATATCTTAACAAATTTGATTCGAATACTGGAACTGCTTTTAGTTTTTATTGATGTATTTTATTGCTTTCGGTTGCTCCTAGATGCTAGGGAGTGAGTCAGCATTCAACATGTGGGAGGTATATGTATATGTGTGTGCATTCTGTATACTACTCTGGCCTCCTTTAGGAGGAGGAGATTACAAAAATTATATAATTTATTTATACTTTTAAAAGTGCTATCTGACAGCTAAAAAGCCTTCCATCAATAATGAGATACTACTTAACCCAACAGAACATTGTATTTGATAGTTGCCATCTAAAAGTTAATAACTTGGGAGTCAATTAGCTAAGAAGACAGTTCCATAACTGAAGTAGTAGCCGTGAGAAGGCCCTGATGCAAATCAAGGAGGAGAGGAGATGGAAGGGGAGAGGAGAGAAGAGGAGAAGGGAGAGGGAGGGGAGTTGGTAAATGGGTGAAGAAGGGAAGGGACAAAAAGGGAAGGAGGTAAATGGATACGGGAGGGGGAGGAGGGGGGGAGGGGAAGGGNTTCTAGATTCTATTATAGAACTGTGAAATCATAACTGAGGTCCCTAATGCTCTAAATGTGTCATACTTTCTCTGGGTGGAGCGAAGACTGACCTTTCTTTTTTTAATAGCTCCTGGCTGATCAGAACCAGCTGACCAGAAGCATCGTGGGTTTTTCTTGACATTGTTTCCAGATCTGCTTCCAGCCTTTTTTTTTCTTTCAACACAGAATCCGCCTTCTTGTCAGTGCTCTTGCATCTATTTTCCAGTGCTGGCAAACAGACAGAGAGAGAAGATGGGGGGAAAAAACAGAATAAACCAAACTGAAGTCTTTGGCAAGGCAAGAAGAGGAAGATGTTTGTATGAACCAGGTTGGGATGATACATCTGGGGTGGGAAATTTGAGACCTCCTAGATGTTGCTGAAGTACAACTGTCATCAACTCTGGCCACCATAGCCAACAGATCAGAGGCAAATAAGTTGTCAAGAATTGGTGCAAAACAGATTGTGTCTCTAACAATAGAGGCACAGGATCGCCTAAATTTGGCCACAAACAGTCATCTTAAGTGGGGTGTGTGTGTGAATCTTTGAGTTCTACCAATTAAAAGGGCCACTCATTACAAATTCCCTCCTCTGTCCCAAAACATAAAAATTGTTGAACCTATGGAACTGACATTTTAGCCAAGTTTACCCTTCCTTTCCAACCCATTTGCTTGTTTTCTACATGTAAGGACAATTCTTTATTAGTGTTCTTTCTTATCAGATCATCTCTATTCTGAGGGAATGCAGTTTTGACACTGCATAATCTTTCAGATGCAGATTCGCAAAAATGTTGTGGTTCCACCAAAAGAGTTCCATATTGACCAACACCAGCCCAATGAGACTTACCACTTACTTGGGCCCTTAGAGTATCCGTCTGGGAGACAAGCGATGATACCTCTTTGTCCTTTTTACTCAATTTGTCCTGGAGATCTGTAGAAGAAAAGGAAGAGCTGAAAACAATACTTTGAACCCCACCCTCCACTTCACCCCACCCCCCCAAGCATAGAGGGGTCCATATGTTTAGAAGGACCTCTGGGAGCTGAGGTCCAACGTATTTAGGAGAACACCAAACTAAGGAATTATTTTTCGTTAGCCTTTGGGCAGTCCTCTTCACCAAATTACATGTTCAGGAGAAAGGCAAAGATAACGTTAGCAGAGACATAAAAGAATTCTGAGATACAGCCTGTTTCATTTCATTTCAACTTACTGATTCATTCAAGGCAAATCCAGTGAGAGACAGATGTTCAGAGAAATCAGGTTCAGAATTACTTTTTTTAGATTAGTCCTGTATGGCATGGGCCCAGGGTATCTGAGGAGCCTCTCTCCCCAATGGAACAATCCCACCCTACATGCGCCAGTGGAAGAGAGCTGCTATAGATCCCATCTGCTAAGGCAGAGGTCCCCAACCTTTTGGGCACCAGGGACTGGTTACATTGAGAGAGGTTTTTCACGGAGCAGAGGGGGCGTGGTTTCATGTACTGCCTGCATCCCATGGATGGGGCTTTGCTTGTTTGTGTGGACCAGTTGCTGGCATGCCGCAGCCCAGTATTGGTCCACGGACCGGGGGTTGGGGACCCGTGCTAAGGAATTCTGGCAGGCAGGATCAAGGAGAAGAGCCTTTTCCGTTGTGGCCCCCGGAAGGGTATTAAAACTTAGATTGCCAGTTGGCTTTGGGCCCCAAGGGGGGCGCTCATCACTGGAGGTGGTTGATGGGATACAAAGACCTCATCCTATGCCACCCGTCTCTTAGTGCTTTTTTTTATAGTTTAAATTTTTTAATCTATATAGTTTTAATATATTTTAATTATATTTCTCTTAGTCTTATAATCTGTAAATTGCCCAGAGTTGCCTTACAGGGGAGATAGTTGGCATAAAAATTTAATAAATAAAATAAATAATAGATGTACAAGGTTGCTGGGAATCTTGTATATTTCTTAATGGAAAATATCCCCTGCGTGTTCACAGCATACAGTAATTATACCATTAGTCTGAAAGAAAAAAAAACAGCTTCCTATAGAGCAGACATGTCAAACTCGCGACGTCACGCAACATATCGGGACTGTTTTGCCATTGCCGGCAATGGGGTGGGCGCGGCTTCCACGTGACGCGTTCAGCCTGCAGGCTGGCATTCTGACACCCCTGCTATAGAGTGTCACATACTGTCTTCAATATTTTACTCCTCACAGAAAAGAATTATGCAAAACCAGCTACCTTGCACATCTAAATAGGGAAGTGCAATCTCTGTGCTTCTAAAAGGTTCAGCAGACTTTTTTCTTTTTAAAAAAGAAAGTTAAAAAGTTAAAAAACAAGAGGACCTGCCCCAAAGCAGGTAGAATTGTCCCAGGTTACTCACTCCAAACAAGAAGAGAAGAACAATGTTTTCTGTGATCTGATTATCTTTTTGAGTAATCTACTGGGGGCTAAAACGAGAGGCAGAGCTAAACTAGGACCAGGGCGCTTTTTCTTGTGCTCTATGCTGCTCTCCTACCCCCAGGCTAGGGAAGCAGAAGACCAGCTTTGGCAGAAGCCTAAGATAACTCTGGTAGAAGGCCTTTGTCGAAAGGCAAATAAACAAGAGTCGCAGTTTTCCAACTGCTGCATCTGAACTTCTAAAGAGGAGCAGACTGAACATATGCCAGAGTTGTAGCCTTGCAGTAGGTGACGGTACCATTTTTGGGTGAGGGGGCTGAGTTCTGAGCACAGCATTTAGATGAAAAGAGTGAGTGATGACCCAGGCAGATGGGCCAACTTCGGTCAGATGAGTGATACATTATTTGTATTTATGTCCAAGATCCCAAAAAGCAATGCACTCTTACCTTCCATTGCTTGTTTCATCTTGATCTTTTCTTCTGAAATGTCATTTGTTTCAATCATCTAAAGAAATATAAAAAAAACCATAAGCAAACCAATAAACGCTTGGCTTTGGTTAATATGAATTGAATGAAGGATGTGCAGATTTGCATATCCATCAGACATTTTGGATAATGCTTGAAATCATTTCTACTGGAGCTTTTCATGTTTAGGCCTACATGTTCCATCGAATCAGTTTTGACTCCTGGCAACTGCCTGGACAAGTTCCTGAAGCCTTCTTGGCAAGGTTTTTCAGAAATGGTTTGCCATTGCCTCCTTCCTAGGGCTGAGAGAGAGCGACTGGCCCAAGATCACCCAGCTGGCTTCATGCTTCATGCAGGACTATAACTCCCGGTCTCCCAGTTTCTACTATGGCGACTTAACCACTACACAAACTGGCTTTCTTCCATGTTTATGTCTTCCACTAATTTATGACAGACATGGCCAGTTTTATACATACTCTCCAGTAAAGGTCTAATGTTTTGCTTTTATCGTATCAAAGTCAATCTCATGAACTATTCAAACAAGCTTTGTAACTTCTGAATGAATAAATGATGCATGTTAATAAAACATACATAAGCTTTCTCTCTTGCACGCAATCAAATTTTGTGGCTTGCAGCAATCAAACCAGAAGTTGTGTAGCTAGCAGTTATCACCTGTGGACTCAAACTGACCTATGAACCCTCAAATCAGTTTCCTGTCTTAACAAAACCATTGTTTCCAGCTTCAACAGAAGCTATATGATATTAAATTCAATTCAAATCATAATTTCATAGCTTGCCTTATTCCAAAGTTGAGAAACAGGGAGTTATGCCATAGCTTTATTGATCGTCCTCAATTTATTGTGGTCATTAAGCAAACCCCTTATTGACTTTGTTTGTCGGAAGCCGTCTGCGAAGTTGCAAATGGCAATCACATCACCTGAGGGATGCTACAACTGGTGTAAATACATCCCAGGTTGCCAAATGCTCCGATTTTGATCACATGATGGTGAAGATGATGTAACAGTCATAAATGCGAGGACTGGTCATAAGTCACTTCTTTCAGTGCCATTGTAAGTTTAAATGGTTACTAAACGAATGGTTGTTAAGTTAGCAGATATTTAAAGTTTGAATTCCTTTCTGTGTTGGATTCCACCAAGTTGAGATTACTGAATGTCTTCGTACTGCAACCATTCAGCTATGTTCAAAATAAGCTCTCTACAGTCCTCTCTATGCTACCATTGGCACATTCTTCCTCTTATATCTCTCCATTTTCTCTTACTTTAATCCTTGAAATAGAATATGGTATCTCCCTTTATAAAAATTGCTTTTGACTTATTTCCCTAACTATGCCCTTCAATGAAACCTCAATGGTCTCTGAGCTTGGTTGTTTTCTTGCAGACATTTCATTACCTAAACTAGGTAACATCATCAGTGCTAATGATGCACTAGCACTGATGATGTTACCTAGTTTGGTAATAAAATGTCTGCAAGAAAACAACCGAGCTCAGAGAGCACCAAGGATTTCTCATTTCAACCCTGAGCTACAAATATTTTCCTTTAATGAAACCTCATTTTGAAGAATTAATTGGGGGAAGGAGGTCTCCAGAATTCTAAAAAAAAATCCTTTGAATCTAAGAATTTGTCAGAAAGTTGTAACTGATGTCGCTTGAGTAACAATGTCATGAAAATAATGACAGAAATAATGACAGAAATCATGCAATTAAATAAATTACAATAATATGATATTATTATGCAAATGATACACACAATTACATTTGTCTACTGCATGCAAATTCTGGAAAATTAAGCTTTTATGGTTACCAAGATTTAAAGCGATAGACCACCATCCCAGTCTGTTCCTCTTCCTCCTCATGAATAGTTCCTCAATACTCTGAATTAGTTTGTAAATTCTCAAGAGAAGAACCTACTTATCCTATTTCAGTTCATAAGGAACAATAAATGTCGATTAATTTAATTTATGAATTAAATATAGTAAACAAAGTAGAATCCTGAATGAAAATGTCCAAGGTTATTAATTAATCCACCTGCCTTGACGGTGGAACTTCCTTTTGAAGAAATTCAAGCTGCCCCACATAGTGACCAGTTTTGGGGGGGGGGGGGAACCATCTAGCTTACACTGCTTAAATATTGTATTCTTTAACTTAGATCAGTGTTTCTCAACCTTGACAATTTTAAGGCATGTGGACTTCAACTCCCAGAATTCCACAGCCAGCAATGCTGGCTGTGGAATTCTGGGAGTTGAAGTCCACATGCCTTAAAATTGTCAAGGTTGAGAAACACTGACTTAGATATTAATAAGTAAAAGAAAAAAGAAAAGAAAAGGAAGGAGTTGTGGCAAATTTATTTTAAAAAGCAATGGCTACTCATGGCCTTTTAACTCAAAATACTCACATTGGTAGGTTGGGAAGAGTGGAGTGGCTCTGTGGAGTGCAATTTATTCTCTAACACAAGAACTTTCTCCTGTAACCGCTGAATTTCCTGTTTACTCTGAAGCTCAGTTTTCTGCAGCGTCTCATAGTCCAGCATCTTTCTCTCAGCCAAGGAGACCTGCTCTTTCAAGAAAGCGATGGCTTGTGCCTGGTCTTTGTAATCACCGTGTAGCTTCTCCAGCTCATGAACTCTGAAGTCAGCATCGCGACACTTATCCTTCAGGTCTTGAAGTTCCATAAGCTGCTGGTTTGTTTTGGTTTCCAACTGGGTCTTCCAATTGTTGTTGCTTTCTTCCATTTCCTCCTTGACGTCTTGTACCTTCAGCTTAAGGCTTTCCTTCTCTTTAATATGAACCGCCATCTCAATCTCGTGCTTGGCTTTTAGGTTCTCCAGCTCTAAATGGTGCTCCAATTTGATACTTTCTACCACAGCTTTCAGCTCCACTATTTCCTTATGCTGGCTGTCAGAGCCTGTGTTCAAAGTAGCCTTGAGGTCCTCCAGTGACTTCTGATGGTCCGATGCTAACGTATCCAGCTTTGACTTCCAATTGTCCATTAAGCCCATGTTCTCATTGGTGGCCTGCTGAACCTTTTGCTTGAGATCCACAATCTCTTGGGAGTACTTTTCATTGAGTGCTTTCAACTTTTCAACCTCCTGCTGGTGCTTCTTCAAAGTCCTCTCATACTTCTCTTTCAGTTGGGTACTCTCTTTCTGGTGCTCTTTGTTGGCTGAAAACAGCTGGTCACGTAAGCGGAGAGTTTCCGTCTGAAGGCCCAGGCTGTGATCTGGAGACTCTGGCTGATGAGCATTCTTTAAACATTGCCGCAACTCCTCAACCTCACTCTGCCTTAAGGTCAACTCTTCCTCGAGCTGAAGAATTCTTGACTTCTCTGCCACGGTAGTTAACTGAAAGAGATTATTAAAAGGGATAAAAGCATGCATTAGAATCAGTGCCTGCATTTTCATATGCACTTGTGGGTAACCTGCAGCCCTCCAGTTGCCATTAAAATGCAGCTGACCATCATCCATCCAAAACCACTGGCTGGGACTGATGGAGTTCAACAACATCTGGATGGCCATAGTTTCCCTGTACCTGAAAATCCGAGAGCTTCTTCACTCATCGTGGAAACTTTCTTTTTTTAAAGTATATTACTGTATTATATAAGATCTTTTAGGGATGCATAAAAAGTGTTAGCCAGCCCTTCCCAATCTAATGCACGGCTAAAGTGCTGGACTACAACCTCCAGAATTCTGAGTCTGTAACTACTAGAATCTGAATGTAATGACATGTTTACACAACATGATCAACATCGCTTTCTGGGTTCTCAAAATACCCTGAGCATAAATTAGCAAATGGGCTGTAGTTACAGTAGGTTACATTTTAACCAACTTGCCTAAATAAATTATGCAAATGACTTTTGTGTTGGTATCACTAATATCATACAGCCTGGGCAGAAGAGTGATTACAAATATCTTAAGTAGCGTACTGGAATTTTTCTGCTACCAAATGTGTGAAAAAGCTCTTAGAAAAGGAATTGCAGCTTAGCAGTAAGATTTCATAGATTTCATTCTCTGAAGGCTTTAGATTTTTGTTTTTGTTTTTGCACCAGGGTAAAATTTTTCATTGAGCTTTCTTTCTTTTGGAATTAGACCATGTTCAATTCTGTCTTTTGCAATCTTCTAAAAAGCAATAGGAAAAACTCTTTTGCCTAGATACATCACCTCTTTTGCTTCTCCTTAAAAATACAAAAATGGTCTGTACACCAGTCTCCTGTAATCTGGCGATATCCCTATGGTGGGGATGAAAATTCCAGTTTGCAATCAGAATAGCCACTGGAAAAATGAGTGGAGATGAGACAGCAAAGTTATGAAATGGCAGGATGGCATGTACCAATTCAGATATCTGATGGAGACCACAGTTGAGATATTTGTGAAAATATGGATCTATATGGATACAGCTTCTTAATGAGAAGAAAACTGGCAACACAGGGATAAAAGTTCTCTTCTTGCTGTGCTTCCTTGAAACAAAATAAAGCAAGTTTTTCTTTTGCCTAATGCTAGGTCAAAACTTTTCAGCTTCTAAAAATTACTTCCTTGGAAAAAGTGCTTCCCATCGTCTTCTCAAGCAGCTTGAAATGTCTTTAGAAATGGTCTTATTACTGAGCTCAGCTTTAAGTTAGAATTATTCTTAATGATAGCCGGAGATGTTGTCTTCCGTGGCCTCTTGTTCCAGCATTCCAAAGCCTCCCTCACTGCCCAAACTTTCCTAGGAAGAGCTCCCACTGATATTGTACCTTGGGATTTATTAGAAGTATGAGAAGGCATTGAGGGTAGTAGTGTACAACAAAAGACAAGATATTGACATATACACTTTGGCCTCTTTGTAATTAAAAAAAAATGCAAGCATAATAACACTTTACCCATAAGAATTTAAGAGATGTCTCTTTCTCTTTAAAAGGAATGTTTAAAAACAAATTCTTTTTTCCCTCAGATTAAATGAGAATTGGTAGAAAATAAGAGGATATGTTTTCTGCACAAAACCCCTTTCCCCTCCCCATAAAACATTAGTCACTTGCTGTCTGAAATACCACAGCTGAGCCCCCCAAATTAGGATTCCATTGCACTAGTGTGATGCTGCAATGCAAAATTTTGACCATAGTCTATTCCCTCTATCAACTCTGCCTTCCCAGATACTATCTTCACCACCTATAGAGATCAGTGTTTCTCAAACTTGGCAACTTTAAGACATATGGATTTCAACTTCCAAAATTTCTCAGCCAGCATGCCAGCTAGCTAAGGAATTCTGGGAGTTGAAGTCCATATGCCTTAAAAGTTGCCAGGTTTGAGAATCACTGCAGATTAAATACCTCAAGACTTGAGTGATTAGCAGGTGTGCTGGGCAGCTTTTGAAAACTTACTCCTTCAGTCCCAGCATTCTCCATCTTGAAAACAAACCTTTTGTTCAGTATAGTGGACTGCTGAAAGTATAAAGTAAAGTAAGAAAAATAAATAAATGCCATCATTCTTGTCAACTGATATACCTGATTGTTCCATAAGGCTATTAAAAGGCATTTCAACTCTCAACCCTAATCTGCTAAATTGGATAATGTCAAATTTGGGTTTGCTCAGTTGTTCTATAACAGGGGTCTTCAAACTTGGCCCTTTTATGACTTGTGGACTTCAACTCCCAGAATTCCTCAGCCAGGCACGCTGGCTGAGGAATTCTGGGAGTTGAAGTCCACAAGTCATAAAAGGGCCAAGTTTGAAGACCCCTGTTCTATAGTCACTGACTCTTTGCTCACCACATAGTTTACCCTGGTGTAAAAGGAGGTATAAGCCAGTCAACCAACCAACCAACCAACCAACCTCCCACCCACCTATGGACATTGGTTAGAAGTCATTAACAGAAATGTTCAAAAGGAATATGTAAGGAATGGTGCTTGATGTATAAGCAAACAGCTGACTATGGTTAATGTTTAATGATGGTCTTAAAAGCAGCTGGGAAACTGATGGGGCACAGCACATTCGGTTTATGAATCATGGTAAAAAAGGAAATAGAGAAAAATCTGGCAATATGGGCTGCTCCACTGAATTGACTCCAATACTAGCTCTAAACATTCAGAGTTGAAAGTTAGAAAAGGACTCAAAAGTTTCTGATCCAAACCTCTGCTTAAGAGAGGAAAGTCATCGCATCTTCCGAACAGCTACCCATTTGAAGCCACAGCAAAGGAGCCTCTACCTATCTGTCACACAATAATCAATGTTGCTGTTGAACTGCTCTTATGTCTCCAATCATTCCTCCTAAGGTTCATCTGAGATCTACTCTCCTCTATCAAAATCTCATGAAATTTAATCCTGAGATGAGGATGGCTCTAACCTTGTTTTGGAAGGTCTTGAAAACCTGGCAATATGCCGGGCCTGGAGTCCCAAATGTGTGAAGGATGCTGTTTCCTGGCTTTTTTGATATTGATGAATTCTAATATCTCTTGACTGCTATTTATATTTTATTTTTTATTTATATTTATTTTATTTAATATTTTATTTATTTATTTTTTTGTATTGTGTTTTAATTGTTTGGCTTTTATCATTGTTTGCAGCCTAGAGTCACTGGTTTGAGGTGGGCGGATATACAAACGGAATAAATAAACATCAGAACTCAAAAAGCAAACAAACAAAAAATATAAATGTAAACCTACTCCTTGGGGCAGCAAAAATTAAACCTTTGCCTCTTCCCATATTTTACAGCAGCAGATCACACTGATTAGGTTATAGATGCTAATCTGAAAATAAGCCAACCAACCATATTTTATATTTTAGTGTGATAGACGAACCTTATCAAGAGAAGGAATTTTCCTAAGCGATATCCAACTCAGAACACTCTTTTCCTCTCTGAAAGTTTATTAATAAACGAAGTAAATTGCCCAGAGTGTTCTAACGTTCATTCACTCCCAAA